AATGAATTCCATAAAAATATCAAAATGCATTATATAAATTTATTAATATCATGAACAGTTTGTTATTTGTAAAAACTGATATCACCGCCACCCATGACTTCTGACCAAATTAACAAATTTGGGAGTGATCCCATGGCATTTGAGTGACTAATTAAACATTTTCTATAAGATCATGCTTCCTTAAACAGAAAACAAAATTGCATGACTGCAACTGCAAGTAATCTGTCTCATTATAATGAACCACATTATGTCCCCCACTGCCAAGCCCTCTCTGCAGTGCTAAAGCTCTAAATAAAACAAGTCTAGATTTCCTCAGGTTCTGAATATCTAGTCTCCCTGGGGCTCCTTTTCAATTTAAATGGGCTTGTTTGTTACTATCAAAATTATATATATTCAGAGACTAAGCATTAGTCTAGCTACTGCCCAACCCTCCTTATAATGCTAAAGCCCTAAATGAATCAAGTCTAGATTTCCCCAGGTTCTGAAATTCCCATCTCACTGGGGCTACTTCTCAACTTAAATGGGATTATTTGTTACTATCAAAATTATATATATTCAGAGACTAAGCGTTAGTCTGGCCTACACTCGTTGTTGTTTTCTGCGTAATAGCACTAAACGACATCGCAGCTTTCGTATCGTTATCTATGTTTTGTGTGTTAATGATCATATAAACAGACTGTGTACGTATTGCTGTTTACTCATTTATTCATGCTGAAGTATAAACGTAAGAGTCAGTTTACATTACGTAAATCCATGTTAAACAAACGAACGAAAAATTGATTTGTTACGGCCTTCAGGCAGCTAGAAGGGGTCGTGATCTTAAACTGCATAACTGGCCCACTGGGTGAGGTAAATATTCTGTTTATTGATCGTAACAATAAATAACAAGTACAGTCATCCCGTTAACTCTTATCTCGTGTTCGACAGTAAATCACCGCGAAAGCTTGCAGTAGATAATTGTCAACGACGCATGTATATGACTGCCTAGATATCACAAGTTTTATTGAGACAAATTGCAGTTGTTTTGGACACCATCAGAATCCTGGTCAGGCCATTCAAATTTACTAGGACTTTACTGATAGTGACAGTTTGCTTATGGGCGGGATGCTATGGATGTTTTCAAACCTCCTTACACACTAGTACTTATTTAAGTGGATGTGGTTGGTGGCCTGGGGACGGCGTCGCCTCGTCATGGGTCAATGCTCGTGATACTGATCACTGGATTGTCTGGTCCATACACGATTTCTTGCAGACCGCCGTCGTATGGCAGGGATATTCCTTGGTGCGGCTTTAGGCAATAAACAAACACTTACGTTCATAACTATGTGTTTGTAGGGTGCTACCGAGAGAGCAGGATGTACCTCCTCTTCGCGAAAACATGTATCAGCATTCAGATATTTTTATAATTATGATGACTTTTACGTCCTATTGATTCTGTTTGGGAGCATAATCGAGGGATAGGAGCACCAGTTGCGTCTCTTGAGAACGCCAGAAACTTACGATCGCGGGTTCGAATCCCCGTTTCTCCGTCTGTTAGTGACATAGCCGTGCTCGTGTTAAGTGGTGCATGTCTGGGAAGGGCATCAGTTTCACTTCATCTCAAGCTGACACACCGTGGTATAACTGAAATGATTTTCAAGACGAGACAAGATTGTCTTATGATGTATATGTGACTTTGGTATATTAACACAATGTCACAGCTGAGATGACACGAAGGAGAAGGTACATTGATACACGGCATTGCATCATAATCAGTTTCATATATATTTATTTATTTAAATCTATAGAGGTGGGACACGGTATTACATGATTCAACATTATAAGAATAAAGGAAACAGGTGAAGCGTTTCTCTTGTCGCTCACACAGACCCTGAAACAAAAAGTATCTAAAAACACATTTTACAGGTGTGGCGTCACTTGATCTACAATCACGGGCTGTCACGTATTGATTAGTTCTCAGGTGTTGCGGGAATACATACATGAACCATTACAGTATGCAGATCCGGTTAGAGGTAATCATTAACTAGTTGTTTACAATCTGGGTGGTGCAATGAACGAAATCGATCATTTGAGGGACTGATCATATATTTTAAGAGCGGACTTAGATATTTAAAAAAATAAAGAAATTGAATCGGCTTAACCTTTCACATTTTTGCACACAGAAAAAGGGCAAAAAATGCCATGTCTCTAACAACCCCCAACCCCATAATATTACATGATACACTCCTAATGTTTTTTGTATTTTTTCTGTCTTTAGTCTGTTGTGTAACGCCGCACTCAGCAAGATTCCTAATGACATTGTGATCGACGCTTCTCAGTCCTCACGCGTCATGGAAAACATTGTGCTGTTTCAAAACACAAACACACTTGGATTTGTCGAACATATGGTGTCTCGAAGTAGAAGCTTGGTCCCTACGTACCTACGTATTTCTTCTTTATATTTTTCGGTTGTGTCTAACATCTGATAATTGGAAGTAGCAGGTGCCCTCAACTTCGACACAACGGTGGTCGTATTTAACTCCGTGTTGTGGAATCAGACAGAAATGTCCTGTCAGCAGGAGCACGTGTTTGTTTTCCTGTGAGATTCAGCCCACAGAACATATGTTGCAACTACTATAAATTCAGAAGAAATACATTTGACAGTTGAAAACAGAAAACACTGCACATAACTTACTAGTATTTCTTTATATATGTACTGAAGTACGCTACTGAACTTCGCCTTCATGTTTGGAAATATACATTCATGTGAAAATTTATCATTCTTGTGAAGTTTACTAAGAATAAAGTTATCGACTTATAAACACAACGCTAGGGTAACCCCTCAATTGTATGGTGAACGGAAAGCAGTCATGGGGACGATGCGCTCGAGGGGCTTGAAAACCTGTGTTAGATGATAGAGTTGTTGCATGCCATTTTGGGAGAGCACAGCAGTTACTACAGACGTTTTCAACAACTGAATTCACAAATCAGCGTCAAGGAATTAGGCAGATGCACATGCATGCTTGAACTGGGTCCATACAACGTCACGATGGAATCGACTCCAGACGTTTGGACCAGCGACATGCAGCTTGTCGACCATCTGCATAACACAATGTTATGTTCTGCATAACACCACGTTATGTTCTGCACAACACCATGTTATGTTTTGTATAACATCACGTTATGTTTTGTATAACACCACGTTATGTTCTGCATAACACCATGTTATGTTTTGTATAACACCACGTTATGTTTTGTATAACACCACGTTATGTTTTGTATAACACCACGTTATGTTCTGCATAACACCATGTTATGTTTTCCCTTTTATATTTCTGTCAGTATATAAAATTTTCAATTTTACTCGTAGTCATATTTTGTTGTATTTGACAGCTAACAGCTGTCCTCGGAGTTTTACTGCTGTCACAATTATGAGTTTGATGTGAAGAAGTTACTTTGCAGCCCAAAGGCAACAGAGAATGAACCGTAAAAAGCGTTTGCTTCGGTTTCGAAACACTTTTTTATGCTGAAGCAGTTACTTGTTGGCGTTAACAACCACGTTGAGGAAGTCGCCGTTTAATGATTAAAAAAGGCGTATTCTCAGAGAAAGAATCGGAACTCGTCGGCATTAAAGAAACGGAAAGAGTCGAGCACCGCCGACTGTCGTCATTAACTAATTTTGCCAGTTCCTTATACACAGATATTTATACACCTGCCAAAGGACCACTGTATTGGGTGATTGGTGCCACATGGCCCTGTCTATATCTTGACTGGTTTCGTTCTCTTGTACTATCTGGTTCATTAGATTAATCGCAAACGGCAGTGACGGTGTTGTCTGGATTGTAATCATTGCTGTTTGCTACGGAGTGAAGACGCCTCGATCTTTCTCATGTTGTACTACTGTCTGTTTTAAACCTTGGTATTTCAAAACGTGTTAGTGAACACTGATTCTATTTTCTCCCTGTGCAGTTTGTGACAGAATGTACTCCTAAACTTTCAGCTCTTGGCTCATTTTGGACACACTAATGTGTAATGTACGTGCAGGTTTACACACGTGCACGGCCAATAGACTCCAGTGAAAATAGTGTGCAGGGTATTATTTCACAATGCATTTGTAGCATTGCAACAAGCGCAGATCTGCGCTACGATATCAGGGCCTCATCAATCATAAGAGTAAAATCCCTTTCTGGAAAGAAGCGAAAGTTGCCATTAATTAATTTAAAAATCTCGGGTCATGCCAGTCATTTATCATCAAAGGGAATGTTATAATTCAAAACACAAACATACCAGCATTCTGTGTCCCGCTCGTGTTAACACATGTTGCGTTCGAATAGGCGTGAGCATCACTTGGTGCAGTCAATTTGATGAAAGCAACAAGTTGCTAACGAGCTTCATGCATCATTTTGTCTGTGAACAAAAACCACAGCAACACTTGTACACAAGTGCTAATTTCTGTAAAAAACCGAAACCCTATTAAAATTCCGATAGTTGCATAACAATAGAAACAGAATTTCCCGTTGTCGCAGATTTAGCAGGGATAAACGTGTAGTATCCCCTTACAACGCAGTTTCATTTGATCACGACCTTATTTGATAAACGCAGGGCTGGCTTTAATTATTTTTGATGACTTTGTCATTCCTAATAATCATTCTTAATGCCAAGGGAATACAGCGTTAACAAGCCGACAGCAAGGGTTCCCAGGGGACAGTCCGGTTAATTTTATATCAACTAGCAAGCGATTCCATGTTTGTCATAAGGCGGTCGTATGTTACAAAGCCATCCCCAGTGCCACGATAGCAAGGTTCCATCACAAAGTCTGGTCTGGTAGTTTGTGCAGTGTTCCCAAGGGGTAGTGGGAATTCCCAGTTTCCAGCGTCTGTATATACCGTCATTATTCCTGATTTGATTTGAAAACCATAGGATTTATAGATAATACAATTACCCACGCTGGGGATAGCCCGTCTATTGGGACTAGGCCACTGGCAATGTTATCGGCTGTGGTAGAGCTGAGTAATAACGCTTGCACACTGACTGTCGAAGGGGTGATGGCAGGCGGCGTTGCGCGGGGCGGTGTGGTGTTAGTTTAGCGGCCAAGTGAATGTGGTATCGGAGCGTCCCTCCATCTCCCGAGATGGTCCCCCGGTATCTGAATGCTCTCCTCCCTGCGGCGGCAATAACACCACCGTCTCCCCTCATTGCTCTCGCAAGGGTTCTGTCTTGAAAGAACGTTTGAACCACTTGTAGGTATTGCCTCGCCCTGGTGATGTAATAACTTTCACGGGAAATGTTTGAACATTTTTTTCACAGTGATTAGGGGATTTATATTTAGGTCTCAATTTACGGAGAACGTCATTACCATCTTGTGCTCTTTTCAGCTGTTACCGACGACCCTGAAGACGAGATGAACCGCGAACTGTCCTCAACATACTGATAAACGGTGCCCTCTGCAACACGGAAGTGGCTATGTGTTTTACCTGGACATTTTGAAATCACTGTGGAGTCATCTATTATCCGTTCTGATTTTTTAAAGGATTTCACTGGACAAGTGAAGTGGGTGTTTATGGATCAATCTGTGACCACAGTGGGTAAAATACAAGTCACATCTGGAAATACAGTGTGTCGTCTGCTTTACTGGAAGTGATCTGTTGTTAGGTATCGTCTGCTGTGAAGGCAACAGGTGTCATGACACCCATCGGCAGCGTGGCCCATATACTCCGATGGGCTTTGCTACATGTTTCTGTCTGGGCCAAATCAGTCACATACTGACCAGAACAACTGTGCCCTCTGCTGCTGTAGGCGTATGTACACGCCCTCAAACTTGGAACTGGATGATAGGAATAGTGCTTGCTATTGAGTAACAACGACTCCAGTGACAGTACAGAAGCGTATATAGTTAGTTATGGCCAAGTTCTATATAATCGCGCTGACCTTTGCGGCGCACCTGTATTCCATTGTAACCTGTGTTAGTACGAATGGAGAGACACAGTTTGGGGTGATGTTGGATGCAGGCAGCAGCGGCACAAAAATAAAGGTATATGAATGGCAAAACACAAGAACTGTAACAGATATTCCCTCCATGGATTTACGATATGGACACAAGTTTACCCCCGGAATAGGCCGTTATGCCACACACAGAGAGGGGTTAACTAAATATCTGTCTAATATTGTGGCTAAAGCTAAAGACGTTGTTCCAGAGGAAAAGTGGAAGTCAACGCCAATGTACCTAATGGCAACTGCTGGTAGGTTATTACTGTATACTACTATTCTATACACTGAATTAACTGTCTCCAGACCCATACACTATCTACCATATAAATTTGAGCAAGCTTGCAATTTTTCAGCGTTATTTTTAGCTTCTTGATGGTTTAGGGGTAGTTCATAATTTATGATGGGGAGGGGGTTGTATGTGTAATGATGATTTTATGGAGGAGCGTGTACAATGTGAATATACAAAGTAAATGCCCCCTTAACATGTCATGTACAAAGTCAATGTATCTCCCCTAGTTTATGTGTACAAAATTGAAGACATCCCCTACCTACCCAGAACAAAATGGGTGACACCCCCCCTCCTTAAAATCATCATCATCATCATCATCTTCATCATCATCATCACACTAGCCATAAATTATGAACGGTCCCTTAAGTGGATAGGCACGTGGTTTTTGTGTTCGCTCTTCCCCAACAACGCACGAGTTCTAATCCCCATGTGAGTACCATGTATACCATCCCTTGATAACTTCCCTGGATGTAGTAACGCTACAGTATTGTGGATACCTCCCAAGCATGGCTCCCAAGGTTTGATAGGCATGCGGAAATCAATGGAATACAATGTACCTGCATTTGTCAACAACTATCATCTGACGTTTTTAGTAGAGATCAGAATATGCGAAAATCAAAACAGTCAATATATTCTGTTTTTGTGATTAATGGCGTCTGCTGCGACTGAATAATGTGGTGAAATATTGCATATGCCATAACTCACCCATATGTGGGGGATAGACTAACGCTTAGTCTCTGAATATATAGAATTTTGATTGTAACTAACAAACGCATTTAAATTGAAAAGGAGCCCCAGGGAGATCAGAGATTCAGAACCTGGGGAAATCTAGACTTGTTTCATTTAGGGCTTTAGCACTGCAGGGGGGCTAGGCATTTGGGACAATAATGTGGTTCAGGGACTGTGAGACAGACTTATGGGGAAAAGGAAGGTTGAACTTATCCTTCATTTTTGATAAGGTTTATATGCATTGCAACACGTGACCTGTGCCCGACTTCTAGTTCTGAATCTAAGACATATAGTAAAAGACAAAATAGGGAAGACTATGAGACTACAGCATAACACATGTATCTCAGCTTGGCTAGGAGAAACGTTGTGTCAGCAATACGTTCAGAAACAGGTCGTTGTCTCTGTCGGACTCTCCGTCGGTGATAACGTCGAGGTTATCTATAGACATGATCTTTCTAAAAAATTCCACTCATAACCCGCGAAGTACTGATTGCATTTTTATCAGTTATGACATGATCTTCCTTTCTGCTCTTATCTTTGCCCGTTCCTTGTGGTTACCTGTGTCTCAGGTGGAGGGGCGGTGGGGTAGCCTTGTGGTTAAAGCGTTCGCTTGTCACGCCGAAGACCCGGGTTCGATTCCCCACATAGGGACAATGTGTGAAGTCCATTTCTGGTGTATCCGTCGTGGCATGGCTGGAATATGACTAAAAGCGGAGTAAAACTAAACTCACTCACTCTCAGGTGTAACATGTGAGTGTTTGTATATCACAACGCCACTAACGGGTAGAGTCACAACATACAACATACAGTTTCCGGTATACGTGTGTCCTTGATCGCCTTCTGTTGCCTCGGACAGCCATGGGGCACAGGGGGTACAGTCGACAGAATTCGCCGTGCATAGTTGCCTCCCTTTGAATCGCCTTTATCTCGAATCCCAGTTCGCTCCGTCACAATTTTCTTTGTCTCTTACTACCATATACTAGTCTGGCTCACAGTCCCTGAACCATATTGTTTTCCCTACTGTATTGCCCTCCCTGCAGTGCTATAGACCTAAATGAAGCAAGTCTAGATTTCCTCAAGTTTAATCTCTCGTCGCACTGTGGCTCCTAGACTAACGCTTAGCCTCTGAATATATATAATTTTGATTGTAACAAATAAATCCATTTAAATTGAAAAGGAGCCCAAGGAGATCAGAAATCTACACTTGCTTCATTTAGGGCATTGCAGGTAGGGCTTGTCTGTAGGGAAATAATATGGTTCGGGGACTCTAAGACTATCGGGCTACTTTTCAATTTAAATGGGATCATTGTTACTTATATCAAAATCATATATATCCAGAGCGATAGTCTATACCATACACGCGCTCGTGGATTTCACTGCAGTGTTGAAGTCTGAGACTAGCATCCCACTCCTCCTACATCAAACTGCCATGTCGTAATAGAAGTGGAATAAAGTTCAAAGTGGCGTCAAACCCAACTTACTCACTTACTTGAGAGCATATGTCGTGACGTTACAACCAGGGATCAGAATATAGTCAGGCGTAAATCAATGGAATACAATGTACCTGCATTTGTCATCAATGATCGTGTGACGTTTTAAGTAGGGATCAGAATGTGCTAAAGTCCAAACACTCAATATATTCCGGCCCTGTGATTAATGACGTCTGCTGAGACAGAATATTGAGATGAAATATTGCATATATATTTTTTATAACATCAGATAATAATTTTAGATTATAATGTCAGATAATAATGAAACAGTATATGTATACATATAAAATAGTAAATGAGGTGCAGTATGTTTGGTTATATCTTGATGTCAGATCTTGACTTTGGCTTCAGATAATGAAGTAATATATATTATGTGTGTGTGTTCATGAAATCATGAACTGTGTGTATATTTAGATTTAAGGTCTAAAAAGCAAAGTATATTACTTTAATTGTTCCCAATGTTCCACAGACCATTAAATACACATCATGATTATTTTGTATATGTCAAGTTGACATACAATGAAGAGTCCATGCCTATCGCCATGGCTACCGTAAAACATAATGTTCTTTTGATTTATAATGGAGCCAGACTGTTTACTGTTTTCCACCCCATGTTCTGTTGCATGAACTTTCATAGCGACTTCATGAGGGAACCAGGTTTAGATCTCATTATTCCCCCCACCATAACTTTCCTGGAATTCAAGTACAAACAGCATGGATCACAGCAAGAGAGCATGGTGTCGTTGTAAAAAACAATCTTAGCACTACGACTGAAAAGAGTCCATGGTAAGGTGTGAGAAGTATGATCATCTTAGTGCTAATATCGCCTTGTACAACATGGCTGATCAGATAACCTTTTAGTGTTAATTACACATGAGAGGTATATTGTACATCAGCAGAAGGTGCCATCTGTATTCGTTTAGACATTAGAACACGCTGATGCGCTCACTGAGAACTATCAGCTTCGCTGTCAGACACAAGCACATCGAGCACATCAAGCACTAAGAAAGGTCCATGACGTTAAATGCAATGGCAGAAATATAAGTGATGCTATTTTAACTTTTCGGATTAAAATTGATCCTCAGGAATCCATGCGTCTCCAAATTGCGTTGGTCAGTACACCTGATGTCAATCACCAGATTGTCCGGTCCAGACTCTATTAATTTACGGACACCCATTATATACATGGAATTGTGACGAGTGCAAACAATCGAACACATTTATCTTTTCGTTAAAGTTTGTTAAAAGAGAGTAAATGTCGGACATCGGGTAAATTACGTTCATGACACTATAAAAAATACCAACAATACGCATCTGTCATCATTTAAGCCCACAAATCCCAGTACGTATATTTCATATAAAACACATACTATCCTTTCTCATGTTTCGCCATTCCTTGTTGAATACCAGCACTGTGATCAGTTCACACAGTTAATACATGTGTCAGTGTCACCTTTGATTAATTGCAGATTTGACAGAGAGTAGCAGATTACCAAGTTTCTAACACTTGTTAATTGATTTAATTGTTGTATTTAGCTAAAATTAGATACTTGTTCATGTCTGTAAGTCACATAGCATTGAATAAACGTACCTAAATAAATATTTCCAACCCACATCAGACTACTCAGGAGGGTGTGCATAATTAACGATAACTCCCCCCTAGGCGTGTAATACAATTATATTATTAAAATGATCAGAGTAATAAGTATGATAATGACGATAAAGTAGTTAATACTAATTACTGATGTGATGTTTAATAAACAACTGTTGTTGTATTGTTGCTGTTTCGAAAACAATTGTTCAAGAAACAATGGAAAGTAGATATTCCCTGTTCAATTTTAAATTAACTTGGAATTATTCCCCGTAAAGTTAACTCCTTATTCCCTATAACGTCAATTCCTTATCCCCCCATAGCGTTAACTCTTTATTCCCCGTAAAGTTAACTTTTTATTCCCCGTAAGGTTAACTCTTTATTCCCTGTTCAATATTGAAGTTAACTTGGAGTTATTCCTAGATCTAAAAGGCAGGCCCGAAACAGAAGAAACACCCAAAGGCTGGCAATGCTGTGATATATCAGTTCCCACCTCGTTGGAGTTGAATGCACTCTATCAGCTATGGTATATCTGCACCCACCCTGACCTTGTGAGCGTCAGCCCTTAACAGTGACATGTATGAATGTATCAGTGTATCAGTGCTCCCTCCCCTAGCCAGCAGGTCACTCGATAACGCCATGAGATGACAGATAATGTCAACACCTCTCCACAAACCTCTGGCCTCTATCAACTAGCCCCGTACGTGCGTATTCCCAAGCGGTGCCCAGACTGTTAGACAAATTCTCCTGGCTAAGTGCAGGTAAATATTATTCCTTTACGATTCGGCCATTAACTTGTGTATATAGCCAGTCCGTGTGGCGGATGATAGTTCGGTATAGTTGTAAACTCATCCAGTCCCATGGGACTTTGGGTAGCGGCGTTGTTTAGTTAGTGTGCGTGTGAGTGCGTGCGTCCGTGTGTGTGCGCGTCTGCGTGTGCATGTGGTTATCGGTGTTGGGGTGTGGATGGGTGTGGAAGGGGTTGAGGGGAAGCTTTAGTCCGGGATAGATCACTGCTAGATGCGCCCCACGGGTGTAAGAGGTCGCCCACAGCGGCGTAACCCAGGTGCGGGTACCACTGGTAGGGGAGTCACCCCGGGATGGGAGTCACCGGTAGGAACGTCATATCTATCTTAGGGAATCACTAGGGTG